CTACAGGAGAGCAGCAGCAACCACCAGAGCTATCAGCAGCAAAACAGCAAAAGAGACAAAAACAATAACGAAGGCGCAGCAGCAGCGCTGCTGCTGCTTGCTGCTGCAGCGGCGCCAGCAGCAGCAGCAGCAGCAACGCCCCAAGCAGCCAAATGTTGCTGCTGCATCTTCTCCCAAAGTTCTGCTGCAGTACAGCTGCGGCTGCTGCTGCTGCACTACAAGTCTAGCAACAGCAAGTCTTGCTTTTTTTTCTGCTTCTCCGGTGCCCCAGGACTGCAGCAGCTCCTCAACTTCCTGCTGCTGCTGCTGCTGCTGCTGCAGCGCTTGCTGCTGCTGCTGCTGCTTCTGCCGCCGCCTCTTCTGCCGCTCCTGCTGCTCCGAAGCAGCAGACACAGCAGCAGAACCTGCACAGACGCAGCCCTGCGCTTCTAAGTCTGTGCAGCAGCAGCGCCATTGCTGCTGCTGCTGCTGCTGCTGCTGCTGCTGCTGCTGCTGCCTGCGGCTGCTGCTGCTCCGGCGGGAGCTCTTTGCTGCGGCTTCTATTACGACCTCCGCAAACCTTCTGCTCTGGTTCCTTCTGCCGCTGCTGCTGTTGCTGCTGCTGCTGCTGTTGCTGCTGCTGCTGCTGTTGCTGCTGCTGCTGTGGCCATGGCTGTCTGCTTCTGGTAGCTCTTCACTTGTCCTGGCGCCGCACAACAAAGAGATATGCGAAGCTGCTGCTGCTGCTGCTGCTGCTGCTCAGTAAGAGCAGCAGGAAGTGCCTGCATGCGCTTCAAGTGCTGCTGCTGCTGCTGCTGCTGCTGCTGCTGCTGCTGCCACTTACTGTGTAAGAGGAGACTTCTGGGTGACGCTGCGGCGAAGTTGCTGCTCTTCAGTGGCCACTGAAGCAGCACTGGGGACTCCTCGGCGCCTGCTGCTGCTGCTGCTGCTGCTGCTGCTGCTGCTGCTGCTGTTCTCTGTAGCTGCTCGTTGAGTTATGCTTCTCCTGCTGCTAGGAGCTGTGTGGCTGCAGCTGCCGCTGCTGCGTCTTCTGCTGCTGCTGCTGTTGCGGCCCGAACGGTCCCGAGCCGCCTGGCAACTGCGCTGCTGCTGCTGCTGCTGCTGCTGCTCTTGCTGCTGCTGCTGGTATCGCTGCTCCTGCTGCTGCTGAGAACGAATTCCTCTACCTTGTCTCTGTTGCTGCTGCTGCTGCTGCTGCTGCTGCTGCTGTACTGTCCCTCCTCTGTGCTCTCGTGAGGGCGAAGCTGAAAATTGCGCCCGTTGCCTTCTGCTGCTGCTGCTGCTGCTGCTGCTGCTGCAGCTGCAGCTAAAGCTTGCAGCAACTGGAGCAGCAGCAGCAACTGCTGCTTCTTCCCGCCTCCGAGGCGCTGAGGCCGAGCGGCAGCTCACCCTCATGAGGCCTTCCGGCGCATGCTGCTGCTGCTGCTGCTGCAGCAGCTGCTGCTGCAACAGCTGCTGCTGCATGCGTTTTTCTGCCAGGCGCTGCTGCAACCGCTGCTGCTGCATCAGCTGCTGCTGGGCACCCTGCCTCTGAAGGAGCAGCAGCTGTTGCTGCTGCTGCTGCTGCTGCTGCTGCTGCTGCATTTCTTGTTCATCTGGCTGCGTCTTTGAGCTGCAGCTGCTGTGAATGCGCTGCTGGGATGCCGTCTGTTTGCCTCTGATCTGCTGCTGCTGCTGCTGCTGCTGCTGCTGCTGTGGCTCGTGCTGCCGCTGCTGCGGCTGTCTCTGGATGCTATGAATCCTCCTTCGCTGCTGCTGCTGCTGCTGCAGCAGCTGTTGCTGCTGATGCTGCTGCTTGGAAGACCGCACGCGCACAGCAGCAACAGCAGCAGCAGCAGCAGCAGCAGCAGCAGCAGCAGCAGCAGCAGCAGTGGAGTTGCTGCTTGGGGCCATCACCTCATCTGCAGCTTCGCCTGCTGAGGGCCTTCTGGATAAGTTTGAAGTTTCCCTGTGGTCAGTCGAGGAAAGAAATGGGTGGCCCTGTAGCTGCAGCAGCAACAGTTGCTGCTGCTGCTGCTGCTGCTGCTGCTGTTGCTGCTGCTGCTGCTGCAGCCTGTGAGCTTCTCGCGCAGCAGACATCTTTTGCGTCAGCGCTTGCAGCCCTCGCTGCTGCAGATGGGAGCTGCTTTGTGGCTGCTGCGTTTGCTGCTGCTGCTGCTGCTGCTGCTGCTGCCGCTGCTGCTGCGCAGGCACGAGACACGCTGCAGCAGCAACACAACGCAAGTCGGACGGCAGCTGCTGCTGCTGCACTGACACCCTTCTGGCCCATCATTTCAGCAGCAGCAGCAGCCGCAGCAGCAGCGGCTCAGTGACAGCAGCAGCTGCAGCAGCAGCTTTGTGAAAGCAAGAGCAACAGCAGCAGCAGCAGTAGCTGTGAGACAGCAGCAACAGCAGCTGCTGCTGTGTCGCAGCAGCAGCAGCAGCATCGCCAATTGCTGAGCAGTTTAAACTTGTTCTGGCTTACTGATTGCCTCGTGGGTCCTGTAGCTTATGCTGCTGCTGCTGCTGCTGCTGCTGCTGCTGCTGCTGCTTCCCCCGCAGCTGCTGCAGCTAGCTTCCAGGTCCCCCTGAGGATTTATGTCATCTGGGGGGCCCCCCAGGGCCCCAAAAGGCTTCTGGGGGCCCCCCAGGTGTCGCCCCGTAAGTGCTGCAATGAGGGGCCCCCCATCTGCTGCTGCTGCTGCTGCTGCTGCTGCTGCTTCTGCTGAGGGGCCCCTGTGGCTGCTGCTGCGGCTGAGCAGGTAGAGGTCGCTGTTCGTGCTGCTGCTGATGCAGCTCACGCAGCTGCTGCAGCTGCTGCTGTTGCTGCCTCCACTAACTCTGCTCTCCAGCGCCCGCCGCTGTTGCTGCTGCTGCTGCTGCTGCTGCTGCTCTCGCTGCAGCACCTCCGGGCCTGGTCCATCTGCTGCAGCGCCCGAAGAGTCTGCAACAGAGGCAGAAGGAGCAGCAGCAGCAGCACAGCTGCTGGAGGTGTGCTGCAGCAGCCTTTCCAGCGCAGCAGCAAGGCCCGAGTGGGGCGAGGCCGAGGCTGAGGGGCCCCCGGGGGGCCCCCGGGGCCCCTGGGGGCCCCCGGGGGCCCCCTGCTGCTCTGCTGCAGCTTCCTGGGAGGCGCAGCAGAAGCTGAGGGCCTCGTGGGGCCCCTTGTCTGCTGCCTGGGGGCCCCCGGGGGGGCCCCCCTGGGGGCCCCCCGGGGGGCCCCCCGGGGGGCCCCCCGGGGGGCCCCCCCCCCCC